TCCCGCCTGGCAGCTACCACCGTGGGCGTGGCATATTCTGATTCTGACCTCCTAATCAGTCCCGCTTCCAGCAGCTCCTTAATCTTTTCTTTGCAGATTTCCTCATCTCCGTGTGGCATCTTTCTCCGGCGGTGAAACACTGGTTCCGTGGTGCTCAACTTCAGCTCCATCTCTTTCACCTTGCATCTCCCTAGTTCTTGCATGGTGAAGGCGAAGCACTTCATGTGCCTGGCCAATAGCTCCTGCATGGCCTCTTTCCCCTCCTTGCTCATCGCCTCTCCCACCACCCATTTTTCCTCCTCCTTCTCCTGGCAGCTCCACGCTCCCCGAGGCACTGCCTCTACCTCTCCCTCCCCTTCCTCGTGCCCCCAGCTTACGACCGTCTCTCGCCACATCCGCCGGATCAGCCACCTCAGCGCATGGCCATCCATTGCATTCCCCAAAGCCCTCCTTCTGTCCGCCTCGCTCACCCCTGGTGCTGCTGTTGCATCTTCCCTATACCCCATAGCCAGCTCCCGCTCTAGTGCTGTAGGTTCCTCCCATTTCCGTCTCTTGTGATCATACACCATGCCCGGCCCCGGCTGCCCTGCTTCCCACTTGTACCCTGCTGCTCCCGCGTACGCCACCAGGGTAGGCAGGGCTCGTCTCTCCTGCCCTATTTGGTTGCAAGGATAGTGCCCGTGGTAGCTCTTGCGACACACCGGTGCTGGGGTCCGCCCTGGTGCCAGGATGTCCTGCACCTTCCGTTCCGTTGCTCGCTGCACCCCATTCATCTCTTCCTGCAGTTTCATGGCCGGGACCACATTCTGCCAATACATCCTGAGCCGGTGTGCATAGGACCCGGTCCTGGCTGCATCACTGCTCACCCCTTTGCCCAGCTGCCCCTTGATTCTTTCTCTCACCAATCGGATAAGCTCCCTGCTGTCTCCTTCCAGATCCAGGTTTTCTAGCAGGTATGCCACCCTACCCTGCCTCTCCTGCAGCCACTCCATGATGCAGAACAGGTCTTCCATCAACCTTGTCCTAGGATCCTCTCCTCCCCTCCCCTTGCCTGCCCAAGTCACTCCTTGGCATCCCCACCCTGCCACCAGCAGATCCACCTGCCCCTAGCTCGCCACCTCTGCCTCTCCTATCTCCTGCACGTCATGGATGCTCCCACCCATGGCTTCTTGAATCACCTTCCCACTCAGGAGTTCTGGGAACTCCGCTTGTAGCTGCCACGCATGGTGCTCCGCCATCCTCCTCACTTTCGGCTCCTTCTCTATGTAAGTCCACTTCCTCACTGCTATTCCACTCCTTACCACTGCTGACAGACCTGCCCCTATCCCCCCGAACAGCTCCACCAGGTGGATGGGCTGCTGCCAATCACTCTGCTGCCTTGGCTCGTTCATCCACTTCATCCTGGGTCCTGCTGCTGACCCTGCTGTTCTTCCCTGTTCCTCTGCTTGCTGCTCCCCAGGCAGCTGTTCACCCACGGCCTGGTATGCTCTCTTGGGCTCCACTTTCACAAATCGCACCGGCAGCTCGCCCAACGGCCCCTCCTTCTTCCAGTACCGTGTTCGAAACTCGACCTTCTCGGTCCAAGTGCATATGGTCATTCCTACCGCGAACACTAGCTCGGTGCCCACCAACACATCGAAGTCCTCCGACTCTGAAATCCCACACTTCATGCGGATCTTGGTCTCATGCTCCCCCCCCCGGCAGCAGCGTCACTTCTATGGGCGTTCGGGTGCATGGCATCCACTTTGGTTCCCCTCCCTCCGCCGTCATTACCAGCATCCCCTTGGCCACATGCCTCTCTGGCGCTAGCAACCCCAGCCTCTCAGCCATCCCCCATCCTAGCATCACACTCTGTGCTCCTGTGTCTATGATTGCAGTCTTCACCTTCTCTCCCTCCACTTCCATTGCTCCCTTTTCTAGCAGCAGCACTGAGGTCTGGCATGCTAGTATTTCTTGGGGATGGCGTGCTGGGGCTCATTCCAGGGCCGGCTCGGCTGGCTTCTCTCCCTTCGCTTGTTCCTTCCTTCCCTGCTCCCGCCTGCCGTCCTTCCCTCCGCTCCTCAGCCCCATTTCTTCTCTTCCTCTCCATGCCATGAGTGCAACCTGCACATCCTGCTCCACCTCCTCCCCCTCCTCGTCTCTGGCATACATCCTTGCCTGGGCCTCCCCTCTCAGCCCTGTTGCCCTTAGCTGCGACTGCACTGCTGATCTGTCGCTGCAGCTCCTCTGGGTGCCTCTTAGGCCCTCCCTCTCTCTGGTAGCAGTCCTTTGCCTCGTGTCCTCGTTTCTTGCAAATCTCACACCTGGCTGCATCTGGGCATTCCCGTTTCCTATGCCCTGGCTTCCCGCAACCGTCACAGTTCTTGCAGTCCCTGCGTAGATGTCCTGGCTGCCCACACCTGTGACAGGTCCTGGTGTCAAAAGCTGTCTCCCCTCGCCCCTCTATTCTTCCTCCCCTCTCTGGTATCATGGCCGCTGCCCACATCGGCCTCCTGCTTCTCTCTGTTGGCCTGGGCAGATAAGCCTCGTACTTCCTCTGTGCGAGCTCCACCCTTTCTGCCAGATCAAACACCTATTCTAGGCTTGCCTCCGTGCCCAGCTTATACACTCTCATCCTCAACCCTCCCCCAAGAGCCTCGTCTAGACCTCCTAGGAACTTGCTGATGAGAAGGCTGTTGTCCGTGCATCTCACGTCTTCCGCCACGTTAATTAATCTGTTGTAGTAGGTCAGCAGTGACTCCGTCTGGCCCCTCCTAAATTCCTGGAATTCCCTTATGCGCTCCACCGTCTGCCCTGGGAATTGTCGTTGCAGTCTCTCCAGAAATGCCTCGGTGGGGTCTTCTCCGTACCTCCCTGCCCTCCAGAGTAGTTCCTCCATCCTCATGCAGTACAGGGTCTCGGCTTCTCCCTCCAATGTGTTCGGTAGGCTCAGGAAGAAGTCCACCGGGTCCATATTGTGCCGGTCGCAGCGGTACCACACATTCCCCACCTGCATCAGGTAATTCTTGAGGATAGGCCCCGCGCGCTGATCTCCCGAGAACCTGGCGGGCACCTGCACCCGCGGGGTGCTGGCTGCACCCCCTCGCCCCTCTCCCCATGCCTCACTGGCTCCCCTTGGCCAGCGTCTCTCAGCTCCTCTCTCCCTTGCCCTTTGCATACCTTCTCTGGCCTCCCGTGCCCGTTCTGCACCGTACACCAGGCTTACGCCCTCCGCTCTGCTCTCTTGGCGGCTCCCTTCCGCCCTTCGGCGCCTTTTCCTAAGCCCTGCCCACTCTTCCGCCCGTCCCCATTGCTGCGTGGGCGGGTCGTGCGTCCTCCGCCCTTCCCACCTCCTGATGTCGCGCTGCTGCCGCCTCTCTGGTGACGGTGACCAGGTGCCTTCCTTCCTGCTGCGCTGCTGGTGGCGCTCTGGCGAGTGCCTTTCTTTTCCGTACCTCTCCCTCCGCGGGCGGCGCCACTCGGGCGAGCGGGACCCGCTACTATCCCTCTCTTCTCTCCGCCTCGGCCGACCCGGCGAGCGCCCCATGCCGCTGCGTTCCCTGTGCTGCTCACCGCGGCGCTCCTGTGACCCCCGCTCCTCCCCGTGCCTTCCTTCCTGGCGCCCGTGCGGCTCATGTGAGCGCGACTCACCCTTCCTTCTGCCACTGCGCGCTCGCTGCTGTTCTGGCGAACGCTCGCCGCCGCCGCTCCAGCCGTCCTGCTCCTGTCGCCTACCATACGGGCGGAAGTCGCCTACGTGCCATTCTCCATGGTGCGGATCCTTCTCTGGCGTGCGCGACCGCTCTGCCTTCCCCTTGCCAGGCAGCCTCTGCGCCAGTGCAGCTCGAACGCCGTCATTTGGCGTCACTCGCTCCTGGCGCAGTGAGCCCTCCGCGCGCCGCTCTTCCCCGCGGCGCGGCCCTCGATTCTTTGGCTGCCGCCTGGCTCGCGCCAGCGCTCTTGTTTGCCTGCGTGGGTTCAGCCTCACCCGTTCCCGCTGCCTGGTCGCCGCCGTCATTTCCTTCATCGGCCTCCTCGACCTGCAGCCCCGGGTGCTCCTCATCTTCTTCCGCGACCTGCTCCGCTGCCACATCCTGTGCCGCGTTCTCTTGCAGGATCCCCACTTGGTCGTCGCCACCCATGTCTCCTCCCCGTCCCCGAGGACGTTCCCTGTTTCTGGGGAGTTTCCCGGAAGCCTCGCCAACGGCCTCTCTCATCCCGGCGCCGCTCTCGCTCTTCCGGAGAGCGGAACACTCCTGCGTCGCGGCGGGTTCCACGGTCCTCGCCAGGTCCGCGTGCTCTCTCTCGCAGCCACGCGTCTCTATCCATGCCACCGCCGTGCCCGTCGTCGCCTGCTCCCACGCCCGTCGATCCTTCTTCTCGACGGTCCCGTGCGAGAGGGATTCGATCTGCGCGAAAGGCCGGGCGGCGCGGCGATCGCTCCAATGACCGCCCTCGTTCACGTGATGGCTCGCGTCGCGGCCGTTCCTCCTCCCGGCAGCTGAACATCCTACCCCAACGCAATTCGTATTTATCCATATATACTCTGCTCATTACTGCTCCCTTTTGCAATTGTAATGAAAGACTTAGTCCCTCACCCCGTAGGTTCCCTCTTAGTGACATGCCTAAGTGTGCTAGAGCGAAGATAGCAACTTTCACTAGTTCGAGAGAATTACAATCGCAAAAGCATCGAGGGGTTGGACGTGAGTGCCCTTACCCAACCCCAGGCTGCACATTTCCAAATGTGCGGCTCGGGGTTTGGGATGGAGTGGTTTCACATTTCGCCCTTCGGTGTCTTTTCCCCCTTTTTATCCCAACCGCTCTTATCCCGTTTCCCCCCTTCTACACCCCATTCTAAACAATCACCTCGCTACATTCTACACATTCTACACCTTCAGCCTATTTCTACTCTATCTTATTATCTCCAGCTATTCTTCCTGTGCTAGCAACCTAGAGCCCTGCCAATACCCTCACCCTACTGTTATAGCATATGCAAAAGGTGCATATGCTGTGACAATGAGGACGCCGACGACGACGATGACGCTCCCGAGGAGGCCCAGCCAGCGGCCCCGGCTCCACGTCGCGGCCGTGCTACTGCCGCAGCCGGCACCAAGACTGCCGCGAAGGGCGGTGAACCTCCTCGTGCCGCTGCTAAGAACCGCAACCCGCATCCTGTTAAGCGGAGCGTGTGGCCCCCCCGCGAGAACACTATCTTCGTGGCTGCACGTTGGTTCATGAAGGACGAGCTCGGGCCCCTCCTCGGGAAACAGGGCTCCCAGTATTGGGCCCGCCTCGTCCGCCACCTCGAGCAGGAGAATCCCGGGTGGGTGCGCAGCGTGAACGCGCTTCAGAAGCAGTGGCGCAATCTCGTGAACATGTTCAAGCAGATTAAAAAGGTGGAGAAGGCGTCGGGCAAGGGGTCGGTGTGCAAGCCCCACTGGTACCCGTACATGGAGCTCTTCCAGAACACCAAGGCGGTGGGCAACCCTCACGCTGTCGAAGGTGGTGGTGCGGCACGGGTCAACGTGCCTTGCGGTTTCGCGGTTCCATCCACATCTGCGCCATGCACATCTACTCCGACTTTCACTGGTGCGTTCCTTTTGCGTTTACAGCAGCCCTGGTGCGCATTTTATGAGATGCTTTGGGCGGAGATCTTTATGCATGTAATCCCGGGTACATGATCTACTACACTATGCACCTTCTAATGCACGCGTTCGGCCATTGTGTGTGCAGCTCCACCTCCACAGGGTACGCCGACATCGAAGCGCCCACAGGTGGCAGAGACGGCAACGATGGCCGCCGCCAAGCTGGTGTGCGAGACAATCAAAGACTGCTACTCGGACGCGATGAACAGGCTCAAAGGCCTCGTCTGCGCGTGGATGGAGCAGGACGCGCGTATTGCTCGCGAAGGCGTGCACCAGCCCGTGCCCTAACCGCCAGCCCGCAACGACACCCCCGTGGACGCGGACAACCTGCGCGCATCGCACGCTGCCGAAGGCGGCGACGACGGATGGTTCCATCGCGGGCAGGCCGGCGGCAGCACCCCTAAGCCTGATGCGGCCGAGGAGGTGTGGGTTCGCGGCGACGCCGAGTGAGGTAGGACGACTCAAGAGCCTCGCCCAGCCGCTTGCGCCTTTCCCGCATATTCGCTTGCGTGCACGGTTCACATGGCTCCCACTTGAACTCTGCTATCGCGCCATGAGTCCACCATGGATCCTGGTTTCGGGACAAGTTGGCCCATGACGTTGACGCGCCTAACTGTTCCCATCGTTTCGCACATGTTATGGAGGATAACGCCACAAGACGTCCCCGCAAGAATGCTCCAGAGCTTGCAGACATTGCGGCCCGCGAATAGACGCCACCGGCCTTTGAAGGCGCCGATGCAGCGCTCTACGGCCATGCGCGTAGCGCTTTGGCAGTAGTTGAAGCACTGCTCCCACTCGTTCATTAGGCCCTCACGGGGTGCATGTAGGGGGGTTAGGCAGAAATCCTTGAGTGGGTAGGCAGCGTCTCCCACTATTTGGTATGGCGCTATATCGCCGTTGTGCAACCTTTCGTGTAACGCGCTATTCATGAACACTCTCTGATCATGCTACCTCGTGCGTGATGAGGTACCCCTCCACGTACGGCTGCATGTAGTGCGCCATCCCGGCGACAATGTATTCGAGGATGGTTCGGTTTATCCGAAACAAGTCCCTGAATTCCTCCTCTCCCATGCCTTCCAGGTCCTCCAGTAGAATGTGGTATCTCCGCCTGTGAAGACTATACCTTCTCTTCCGCTCAGCAGTTTGGTTGGAGCCGTGAGAGCTAGAGGCCGAGGCAACCTCGTCGGTGAATACGTTGGCCTCGAACAATCCACCGACCGACTTGGCGACCACGTTCATGAAGATGCTGTAGTAGAACGTCACCCATGCGACCAGGAGTCGCATAAGAATTGGCACCTCGTGGGGCTGTGCCATGATTGTTAGACAATGGTGCAATACTGGCCTATGATGTTTGATGTTTTGTACTTGGAAGAGTAGTTGTATACGTACGTTTGTGTGTGGGGTGGTCCAAGCTGCCCCGACTTGCCCAATTTGCAACTTCCGTTACTGTGGCAAGCCCCCCGTGACATTCGCTTCGTTTTCCCATGTTTTGGCACCCTGCCCGGCGGGAAAGCGGGTGGGCTCAATCCAACTGGTCGCGTCCAATAGAACGCGCACGCCTGGCAAAGCCAATCTGTCGCCCTAAGTTGTGGTACATTTGCCGTTTGTGACACAACATTTGGCAAATTTACAGGCGCGACTCGGGAAAAAGGGGATTGAGACACAATTGTCTCCACAGGATTGTACCCTTAGTAGCTATCTTAGGTATGAGGGACTGACCGGGACTGGGTCAAGGGGGGGATACAAGCAAAGTGTCGAGAATGTCTTGTACCCCCTAACATGCAAGGCATTGCAGCATATCTATTTCTACAAACATAGTTTGACACACCCCCATAGGCTAAGTGAGGGGCATCAAAACAACCATGATAAATGTGTGGTCACAAGTCCAGTCAAGGGAAGAAACACAGCAAGCTCAGGTTGGATCACAAAGTCACCACACATTCTAAGCACAAACAAAGGGCCACAAGCCCAGTTTAAGAGTTCACAAGTATATGTATATATATAACTACAGCAAGCAACAAGAAGCAGACTACTGTAGCCGAGGGCCTGTTAGAGACTAAGGACGGAGTCTACGAAGATTAGGTGCCTAAAATTCTCAAAATCGTTGGCTTAGAATTCTGGACAGAAAAGTCACGCTCACGAGAAACGCCGTCGACGAAAAGTTCACGGTCAAAACTTCACCAAACTCAGATATGTTGTAGCTCTACTCCGTGGCTAGAATTCCCAAGTTGAATCGTACAAAAAGGTGAAGTATTTCTTGAGTCATCAATTTCGGCGCACTAGGGGGTATGCTGCCATTGAATCTTTACTCAATCACAATAGTCTCACACAAGTTCACAATTACTACACAAGAGAGTTAGAGTAGGAATAAACCAGGTGGGAGGGGATGAGGAGGACGAGAGGGAAGGTCCCAAGGGAGTCCCCAACCAAGGAAACCCCATGCCACACAATTCCCCTCTCTCTAGACAACCCAACTTTGACATTTGTCACTTTCCCAACCTCCACAATCCACCACACCCAAGTTGGCCACACTTGCCAATCTGGTTTGGCTTCACCCAACCACTTGGCAGCATCTACAGTGATGAGTACGAATTTCCCAACCCCCAAAAGTCTGTACCCCGTATAAAGTCATTCCCACAACTTCCTATAGTCGCCACAACCAAACATGAAAGGCATACGAACTTTGAACGTTCGTAACTTTCTTGTTCGTGCTCCGACTGAAGCGATCCTTGGCTCGTCGGAAAGCACTTGAGCAGATGAGTCATTTCAGATATCTGCTCAAGCCAAATAGCATTCACACATACTCAGAAAATCCAAACCGCACAAAAACAAATTCTTGCACACGCTCACACCACGCATGCAACACACGAACATATGATGGGAGGCAGACAGACGTGAATGCGAATGGTAGCATCACTCAACAAACTCCCCCTCTGGCTGCCAACCATCATCCCACATGCCATAGTTCAAGCATGCACCCTCAATGCACACTCATTCCCGCAAGCTTCATGCCCTTCCAATGCTCAGATTCTGCCAGGCGCTTGGTGAGAATGTCAGCCGCCTGCTGCTGGGTCTTCACAATCTCCAGCCGCACCTCCTTGTCTATGAGCCTCCTCGTCCAATGCCACTTAGGCTTGATGTGCTTTGTCAGGCCATGAAGGCAAGCATTCTTTGCAAGCTTCACTGCCGACTCATTGTCACAGAATATCACAGTCGGCTCCTTCTGAGCAACACCAATCTCCTCCAACAAGCGCCTCAGCCACACCACCTCCTTTACCCCATGATGAAGGGCCATGTACTCCGTCTCACACGAGGACAGCCCCACCTCGTTCTGCTTCTTGCTGCGCCAGCTCACTGCACCACCTCCAACCAGGCACACATAGCCTCCAATGCTGGTGCCATCCGCCTTCACAGAGTTGAAGCTGGCGTCGGTGTAGCAATCCAAGAGCATCTCCCCCTTGCTCAAGTCAGCTGCACCCCTCTGCAGCCTCTGTTGCACAGCACTGTACTCCAAGCCCACTGATGCTGTAGCGCTCACATAGCGGACCAACCTCTTGGCCGCTTCCAGCTGCTCATGACTGGGGCGTGAAACCACACTCGCAAGCCTAGATGTAGCAAAGGCAATGTCAGGCCGCGTGTGGTTAGCTGCATAGTTGAGTGCCCCCACCATGGAGTGAAACAACTTCCTTTCACTCTCACCTACCACCTCCTCATCAGCACAGGGCTCCACAGTGAACCCCGAAGGCAGTGGGGTGGCTGGCTTTCCTCCATCTTGCAGCCCATACTTCTCAGCCAGCCCCTCACAGTACTTCCTCTGGTGCAACCTCAACACTCCCTTGTCAAGGTCCCTCTCCACATGCATCCCCAGGTAGTACTTCACATCTCCCATCTTGGAACACTTGAACTGCATCTCCAGCATCTCCTCCACACGCTCAATCATTGCAGACGACTCAGAGAAGAGCAGGATGTTGTCCACATACACCAGGAGCATGAGAAACTGCTCCTTCTCTTGTAGCAGGAACAGGCTGTGGTCACACTCACTCTTCTTGAACCCCCCAACCAGCAGTGTCTCCTCTAGCTTGTGGTACCATGCACGAGGAGCCTGCTTCAGGCCATAGATGGCCTTCTTCAGCCTGCACACCCTGCCGCTCCCATCATCCAAACCCTCAGGCTGTAACATGTACAGCTCCTCCAGAATGATCCCATTGAGGAAGGCGGTGGTAATGTCAATCTGCTTCACCCGCCATCCACGGTTTGCAGCCATTACCAGAGACACTTTCAGTGTTGTGCCTTTCCCCACAGGAGCAAAGATCTCGTCAAAATCCTTCCCCTTTGTCTGCTGAAACCCCTTAGCCACAAGCCTTGACTTGTAGTGGGTCAGCTCCCCATCTGGTCCGTACTTATGCCTGAAGATCAGCTTGGAAGAAATGGCCTTCTTCCCAGGAGGCAGCTCACACAGCTCCCACGTCTCATTCTCCAGCAGAGAGTCATACTCCTCCTTCACACTCTGCTTCCACTTCTCAGCGTCGGGCCCGCTCAATGCCTCGGCTAACGTCTTGGGCTCAGGGACGGTTGCCCAGTAGCAGTGTGCTATCTCATCCTCATCACACTGCTCAGCCACACTCCCAGCCCGTACCACCTTTGGCTTGCCAAAGCTTGGATAGGTCAGCCAGTTAGGAGGGCGCAATTCCCTCCGGGGACGGTCAGCCGGACGTGCGGCACCTTGTGGAGCACCTTGCTGCTGCTGCTGCTGCGGCTGCTGTTGCTGCTGCTGCTGCTCCTCCACCTCAGGTTCTCCCCCATCCTCAGTCACCCCAGAGATCTCATTCTCAGAGACAGAAACATCCACTTGCCTCGAAGGCCGCCGCACCTCATCGGCCTCGACAATCAGCGGGGTCGTAGGAAGCTTCTGCTGCTGCTGCTTCCACTCCTTGTAGTACAAGGACTCAAGGAACTTCACATCCCTTGACACAGTCAGCTGCTGGCTGGTCAAGTCCCAAATCAGCCAGCTCTTGTGATCCTTAGCAAGCCCCAAGTGCACACCCCATCTCCCAGAAGCCTCCAACTTTCCCCTCTTCTCCTTAGGCACATGAAACACCACCATGCACTCAAAGGCTCTCAGCATGTTCACAGCTAGTGCACTCCCATACCACTTGGTGTAGGGGACCCACTGCTTGTCCCCCACTGTTGCTAGCACCCTGTTCTTCACAAGGGCGACCTGCCGCAGTGCAGTCACCCAAAACGGATCTGGCAGCCCTGCACGCCCAAGGAGAGTGCGAGCACCTTCC